GTGTCAGAGGAGCCTAACTTGAACCAGAGGGGCAGGAAGGGCCTCCGTTATGAAGGTTGAATGCCGTGAACATCATAGATAAACAGCAGACAGCAATGTTCAAGAGCTTGGGTTGGAGGCCCAGCTCTGCTGTGCAATAGCTGTGTGACTTTGAGAAAATGCCTCCATCCCTCTGTGCCTCCAGATGCATGGAATGAGAATGGCCATGGCCTTCTCTTCTAGTACACAGAAGACCTGGAGAGCTCTTAGAGCAGAGCCCCGGACACTGGGAACTCTCCCCAAGTGTTCCCTGCAGTTACTGCTTCCCTGTGCCTGGTGCTGGAAGTTAGGAGATGCATGTGGGAGAGGGGGACTGAGTAGGTGTCAATGGGCGCTTCATGTGCCCCATAGTAGAGTTTGCATGGACGTGTACATATATAGGGCAGGGTGAGTGTGTCATGTTTGTGGGGAAGGGTGTGTGCACGCGTGTGTGGTCATGAATACCATGTCTAAGACAGGTAGGGTCCCAGAGCACAGGTAATTGTGGGGCCTGTGAAGAGAAGACCATGTGTGACTGTATGCTCGTATGCATAAGGATTGCAGTGAGCATGTGACTGGCTGTGTACAACTGTGCAGAAGGGCAGGCATGTGTCACATGCAGGGCTGGAGCAGTGCATCCACAGAACCGTGTGGGCGGGGTCTGCTAGGGTCCATTTGGAGACAGTGGCCGGTGACTGCCATGGGAATGACAGGTCCTGGAGGGTGCTTGGTCGTCCCTGGCTGTCCCAGAGTGCCGGTGATCCTTGCTCTATGTGTTGGCCAACAGCCGCCCCCTCTCAGCCACCTCCCATTCCCTGCCCTCCTCCCTCCTTTCCAGCCTCGGATCTGCCTCCCCCAGCTTTCCTTTCTCATAAATAGGACTGTGCTCTGCCCTTCACCCTGCCTGACCAGTGACTGGCCTGGAAAGGTTAGTGACTGTCCCTCAGTGACTATGCCTGGACTGGGGGAAGGGTGCTGTCTAGTTCCTGCATACCCCTGGAGGTCCCTTAAGTAAACGGCTTCCAGGCACTTCTCCACAACTTGATTCCGGAGAGTGATCTGTCGGCATTTCTAACTTATAATAGTAAGAGCCCAAGGCTTTCTGCTGGGGACTCAGTGGCCTTCCACGAGGACTGTATCTCTTCTGGCCATCCTTTTTGGGTGGTGGGCTGAGCCCTGTTTCCATGGAAGCTGTAAGGGCAGGTGGAGTGTGAGACTGGGTGGGACCTGGAGGATTATGCTTTACACCCCTGGTCTAAACCTTGACCACCTACCCAGACAAGCAGGGGTGAGCATGTATAGGAAATACTTTTGGGGGTACCAGCACCTGTCCTGGCTGGGCTGGGGGAGCTAACATCATCAAGGACTGAGGAGCTAGGGAGAGTGGGGAGGACCTGGATAATCCGGGGGACAGAGCTTGGCTATTGTCATGTACTGCTCTAAGTCCATCCTTCTGGATCCCTGACTGTCGGCAACTCTCTGAACTGGTACCTATTCTCTGGAAGGGACTGTTCAGTGTGGCAGCCTCTGCCTGAGATAGCTTGGTACCCAGTGGGCACACAGTGAGTATACGAAAGAAGGGCGTGACTCTCCCCCATCATGTCTCACATGGTGGCACAGCCAGACAAGCTTGTCACACAGGAAGCCACAGGGACAGGTGGAGTTTGAAACCAGGGCCTGGTCTAGGCCTGAGTGCACTACCTGATTTGACTGACCCATCTCCCCGGCCCGCTGCTTTGTGCTTTTAAGCATCCCTCTGGCTGCCGGGTGGAGAAAAGGCTGGAGGGCCATGGCTTGGTTCCTCCTGTCAGTCCTGCAGCAATAAAGTCAGACCCTGGAAGGGAGCTCTGCTGGGAGTTCTGCTGCTAGTGAAGACGGCCTGGGTGTGTGAGCACGGGGAGAGCCGTGTTGGACTTGCTGAGTGGCGGCTCAAGAGGCTTTCTCTCAAGATGTGTGCAGAGCTAGGTTGGAACTACAAAGCCGCTGGAATCCAGGAGCTCTGAAGAACAGACTTCCTCTCTCCCTCCATTTCTTTCCCTCCTCTGTCCCTCCTCCCCTTGAGCACTGTAGCTTCTGGAACCAATTGTATGTCCTCCTTGTCCTCTACAGTTCACAGCTCTGGGCCCCATCACTGCTGTTCACAGGTGACACATCTTGCCCTCTCTGGCTTGGCAATGCCTCGTGATGATTCAGCAGCAGCTTCTGCTGCCACTGGCCAGCAACTCCTTTCGGTTTCTGAGTTCATAGTCCCTGGAGATGAACTGATTGACTCGATAATTCCTTATGAGCCAGGACACAGGGCATTTATCTTTGGGTCAAGTGTCTGACCTCTTTATTCATCAGCTGAGTCCTGGGAGCACGGGATGCTGAGTGTGGCCTCCGAGACAGTAAGTTCCCTTGGAGAGAGTGTACACAGGGCAGGCCCAGCACTAGCTCCTATAGGCTGGGAGCATTTCTGAACCATAGCTCTGAACTCTGACTTTTGCTCAGTGGCCTGTTCCAGAAGACCTAAACCAGCCTTTGAGCTTCAAATGGGTCAGAGCTGGGCCATGATCCCCAGTCATAGTCCTAACCCTGTCCTGTGGGTTCGCTGACCATGCCATTGGTCCCCACAAGAGAGCGAATGGCTCTTCAAGGGCCTACCACAAAGTCAGGGCTCTGTTGTAGTAAGGGCAGGGTGTCATGTTGATTCATCTCAGTGGTGGGTGCCTTTGACCAGACAGCATACCACACTGTGACTGTTGGTAGTTCATTTCTCTCTGCTGCTCCAGCTGAGTAAGATGTCATTGGAGACTGAGTAGCACCAGCCTCCCTGGGGCTTTGGTTAGATGTGCTCACACATCTCCAACAGCAGGTTTATGGCGAGAGGTGTAGATCTTCATTGCTCTCTCTGCCCATGATCTTTGTGTCTGAGTGTCTCCTATCAAGAGGAAGAATCTATTTCCCTCTCCTCCGATAGGTCTGCCCAGTACCAATTAGTTGATTTGGCCAACAGAACATAACAGAAGGGATGTTGTGCCACATCTAAACCTAGACTTTAAGAATTCCTGCATGAGGGCTCTGGCAAAATGGCTCAGTAATTAAAAGCACCTGTTGCTTTTGCAAGTAACTGGGTTTGATTCCCAGCACCCACGCAGTGGCTTACAACCATCTGTAACTACAGTTCCAATGGATCTGATGTCTTCTTCTGATCTCCATGGGCACCAGGCACTGTGTGTGTGTGTGTGTGTATGTGTGTGTGTGTGTGTGTAAGACAAAATAGTCATACACATAAAATAAATAAATAAATATTTTTAAAAAAAGAATTGCTGCATGCACATGAGCTCTCCTGGAATCCTGCCACTGCCACACAGACCAACCTGGTATGTTAGATGATGGGAGAAAAGAGGTCAAGTCACACCCTTCACCCGTACCCTGATTGAGAGCCAGCCCATGGTTTGGCACTAAATGAGGCCATCCTGAACATGATAGTGGTCCCTTCAATCCACAGCCTAGAAACCAGGGTATCAAAGAAGTTTCTGTTGAGGAACAGACTGGTAGAATATAAAAGAGAATTATTAGATTGGCGTATGGGATTCAGTCTGGGTAGTCCAACAACGGCTGCACACCAGAGAGGCTGAGCCTGGTAGCTGCTTCATCCACATGCTTCAGTAGTCCCCGTTTGGTGGCTTGGAAGATTCCTGGAGAGCCTTTGATCCACACTGGAAACTCAAAAAACTTGAGTTCTGAGATCAGTGAAGAAATTGCAGCAGCAATAACAGCAGCAGCAGCAGCAATGAGGTAAATGAACTCACCAACAAGACACAAAGGCAAGCAGGCAAAAACAACAAAGCTTTTTTTTCCTCCAACATCCTTTATCTGGGCTACCATCAGAGGTACTGAACACATTTAGATGGGAGTCTTCATACTTTAGTTAACTTGATCAAGAAAAATTCCTCATAGGTCTGCCCAGCAGCTTGCTTCTTAACTGATTCTAGATCCAAGGAAGTTGACAACCGAAATTAGCAACCACACTCAGCCTAGGTCTATCTAGTCTGGCCCAGATCCTGAGCAATAATTCATACTTATATCGCTATAAGCTGCTGAGTCAAATAATGTTTCTTATGCAGCAATAGCTAACTGATACACCTCCCCCATCCTGAGACCTCAGACAATGTGTTAACACTTGCTTTTTAGCTCAGTCCCTGAGACTAGGGTGGTCCGCTCTGTGAGACAGGACTAAAATTGTTTGGACCCAAGATGCAATGATGACTTGGTATATTGATAGATGCCCTGTAATCTGGGTGCAGAGCGTGCCAGGCAGCTGCACTTCCTGCCACTTACAGAGAATTTGCTGTAATGCATTGTGAGGCATTAGCATAATAATTGCTAAGCATTCGCAAATGAATAGCTCACTGACTGATGGATTTTGTACAGAATCTGTGAAGGTTACATCGAGGGTGAAAACATTTCACTGTGTCAATGAACATACTTAATTTCTCTGGAAGTGCTATTTAAATTGCGTCGTGCTATGACATTAGCATAACAAAGACATAATGCATTCGTTTATGCTGTAGTAGGGAACACTGCCATAATCAGCGGACATGACGGAGGCAGTGTGGAGAGGGGTCTGGGAGCTGCGGAGGGCAGCCCCATTGGGTCTCTTGGCCAGGCGGGGGAGGTGCTGCCCTGTAGGTCCCGCCCTCTGACTCAGCTCCAGATGGGGCTCTGGGGCTAGCTTGCTTGGTGGGTGTACTCTGTTTATTGGCTTCTTTCCTTTTCACTGAATTCTCTTCCCGCTGCTCTGGCCACCAAGTCCTGCTAATGGGTGGGTGGGCCTTGGCTGTCAGCAGAGAAACCCTCAGGAGAATTAGGAAGCATTCAAATCTGGCAGGATTCATCCGCCCCCTTCAGCAGGGCAGGACAGCCTCCCCAGAATCAGCCAGCTGGTCCAGAAATCTGTGCCATGGGACTTCCATCTCTCCAGCCCCCTCCCCTGAAAGTGTCATCAGAGCTGTCACAAGAAGCCTCACAGGGGATGGCTTTATTACCTCAATTTTCAACATGTTCTGCATATCTGGCTCTTCAAAGGGGAGTGCTGGGGATGAGTCTGTTAATTGAGCATCTACTGTCTGCCAGGCACTGAGCTATTTTTGTACACACCAGCTCGGCCGGCTCCTCAGACAGCTGTGTACAGGATGGGGGCAGAGTGGTGAGTTCAAGGTCCAGCTGAGTTACTTTTGTGCAGAACTTGTCAGAGCCTTTAGTAAAATCATGATTTCCACATCTCCAAGATACAGGCAGAAGGGTTTTGAACCTTGCAAACAACAGAGCCTGGGGTGGCAGGGGCTGACGTGATTCCAATCGTGACTTGGTAACCCCACTTCAGAGTTAAGGAAATGGAGACCCTACAGGACATAATTTGCAGGGAGCAGGCCGGTGGCCCACATGGGATCTGATTCCTTGTCTACTTGACTTCACTGGCAGAGCTGGCATCGTAGGAGAAAGGAGACCAACAGCCAGCGTTATTGGGAGAGACAGCTGGCAACAATGGTGGAAGCCGCTGAGCATACCTCCTTGGACTCTTCGTACCTGGTTGGTGAGGGGGACAGTTGTAGATGTAGCTCACAGGAGTGCTGAGATGGAGTGGGGATGGACTGGTCACTGCTGCCCAGGAAGTGGGTCTCTAAGGAGAGGTCACAAAAGGCCCCAGCACATTAAGACTGGGCTGATATGGAATGGAAGGGGTGAAAGGTCACTCAGGCTCAGACACAGGTAATGATTCATACTCCAGAAGGGGAAGGAGGAATTGGGAAATCCAAGGACCATGATGAGGGCATGAGAGTACATTGAGATGCAGCTGGTTTCCTGCTTTCCCAGTCCCCATCCTCATTAGGAGGTCATGGGATCTGGAGAGTGACTGAACTTGGTGGGTGGGCTCCTCAACCATCTCTTGCTATGATCCCAGGTCCCAGGAAGAAAGAAGAGTTTGAGGAGTACCCTGTCCACTTGGTTTCACCCCACCCCAGACAGAGATTCTTTCTGTCTGAGGGTTCATCGGGTACTTTCAGAAAAATGTGCATTCATATGTTAAGAGAAGCTTTTTCTTTTGCTAGCCGCTTTGGTTATCCCCCGCCAGTCGCCTGGGCTCTGCTGCGCCAGCCTGGTTCTAGATCCACATGAGTCCCAAATAAACACACAGGAGACTATATTCATTATGAAGCTGTTGGCCTTGTTTGTCTCTTACTGGCTAGCTCTGCTTTAAGTAATTACCCCATAATTGTTAATCTAAGTATGTCTCTTACCGGAGAATAGTTCCAGGCTTCCTACCCCCAATGGCGTTACATGTTGACTCTCTTGTGTTTCTCCTCCCAGAATCCTCCTGGACTCCTAGCCCCACCTATCTAGATTCCTATTGGCCAGCAGTAATTTATTAACATATACACAGGACTTCCCCAACATTCATAGAGTAAGTTCTGTATAACATGGAAGGTTGTAAATGCCTAGGCACGTAGCTCTGGCTGCCCTCTTGGACCGAGACCCTGGCAATGGAGAAAAGGTGGAGAACACGCTATTAGTTTGCAGAGATACACCCGGAAGCCTTAGGTGGGCCAGCAAGAGCTCATCCCCATCCAGCATTCTCCCTGACCCCTCACCACACACATCCTCCCATTGCCCACACCTGTCCCCTGCCCTACCACACAGTAGAGCACCTGGAATGCAGTATAGAGCTTCCTGCATTGTGTCTGGCCCGGGACTCGCTGACTTAGCACAGGTGAAGTAGCTCTTGCCTACTTTGACTCCCTACTTCCTAGAGACCTCCATGTTCACTCCTCCTTTCCTTTCCTTCAACTGGGGCATTTGTTTGTATTTACTAGACATATTCTACTTGCTGAAGTCTGGGACAGGGAGGAACCGACTTGTGGGTTGCTGCTCTCACGGTACCCGCAGGCCAGCGGGGAAGTAGTCAGGGGCATATTCAGTGTCAGGACAGATGAGAGGCAGGGAAGGCTGTCTGTGTGCCCACAGGGATGTGGTTTCAGTTTCTGCAGGACAATGCTTCTCCAATGCTATTCACTGGGATTCCCACCTTCCTGGTTTCCCCCATATCAGCATGCCATCTGTATTGTTGTTTACTTCCTGTTGTTTGTCTTTAAATAAGCTTCAAGTAGGCTTCGTGATTTCCTGTGCTTAGCGTAAGCAACGCCGCCTGTGAAATAGTGGATCTTGATTTATAATTTTTAAGCAGAAACTTAAAGGTTTTTATTATGGGAAAATATAGGTAATGTGAATTTAACATTTTTGTTTTGTTTTTCAAGACAGGATTTCTCTGTGAAACAGTCCTGGCTTGTCCTGAAACTCACTTTGTAGACGAGGCTGGACTTGAACTCACAGAGATGCACCTGCCCCTGCCTCCCAAGTGCTGGGATCAAAGGTGTACACCACCCCCCCCCTGCGAATTTGCCACTTGGTACTGAGTGTACATTCATGGTGTACAACAGTCAGCACTATCCATTTCTAGAACTTTCCCATCATCTCAAGTAGAACCTTCCACTCTCCTCCTCCTTCTTCCCATCATCTTAAGTAGAACCTTCCACTCTCCTCAACCTCCCTCTTCTTCCCAACACTCAGCCCCTGGTCACCTCTGCTCTGCGTCTATACTAAGTACTTCCCACAAGTGGAATAATACAATGCATGCCCCTGGTGTCTGCCTTGCTCTGCTTAAGATGCCTTTGAGGCTAAGCTGTGTTATAGTGCATAGAGCATGTCATCCTTTTTGCTGGACCACATTGTCTATCGATAGCTCAGGAAGAGACATTTGGACTACGATATATACAATTTGTACTTTAGCCTATGCTCACATGACCTGATAACTGTTGGAGTCCTGCGTGGTTTTCTGTGATCGTTGCTTCTGAAAGCAGAAGTTCAGATGAGGACATGAATGCAGGTAACTTATTTGGGAAAAAAACAGGTGTGACAGGAAAGGGAGGAAAGGGATCAAAGTCGGTAGCATACTGAGCTGGTTATTGCTGTGGGCAATTGGGGCTCAATCTTAATAAGGTCTGGGAACCAAGCAGACACACCTCAGAATCATCCCGCTGGAGGACAAGAGGCTGACACTCATCGCAGTCCCCAGCACCCCCCCCGCTGCTGCACCCCTCCTCCCCATACTGAGAAAAACCCGCAGACTAGGATACAGGGAGCTGTCCACCACAGCTGTGCTGAAAGCTTGTGAGCGGAGGCTGCTGCTCACTGCATCGTGAGCACCTGCTGGGCTCTCTAAAAACATTTTGACACCTCATCCCCAGGTTTGGAGATGGTTGCTGCTTAAAGTGACAGGCTAATGGCTGAAGACGGAGCAGTGGCTGGTCTGACTCTGAAGGAAAGAGTGTCTCAAGCAAAGACCCTGAGGACAGACATAGCAAGCATGTGCCCTGGAAGGGGTCAGGCCCTACAGGAGGGAGGTCCTGGGCTGTCCCAGAGCTGTTAGAATACCTGGGAGAATTTTTAACCTAGGAAGGGAACACATGTGTGATGTGATTGGCCCTTCTCCTATTGGCCTGGGGCAGATGCCAGCCTGGCAGGGGTTGCTGATTCTTAACTTACCTCCCAGGAGACTCCAGTGGGAGTCCCCTTCAGATCTTTGCACTTTGGGGGCTGATGGGCATTTGATATTCAGAGTTGACATCTATATTGGTGATAACCTCCCTGGGCAAGTTGGACTCATTGGGGCTCCTCAACTGAGTTCAAGCCTCTTTCAGCCCTCAGTGTAGAAGAAATTCCCTCATGGAGTTGAGTCTTACCTCTGCCATCAGCTAGCTCGGGCAAATCACATCTCCCCTCGGCCTCAATTCCTGGTCTATTCAATGGGAATAACAATGCATAGTTTACACAGTTATTGAGCAGACACTATGAGAAAAAAAATCTTACTGTGTGCTCAAGATATGGGGCATGTCCCTTCTAGTGTCCCCACTAAGCTTGACTCCCTGAACCTTGGCCTGCCTACCCGAGGGGAAGTGGAAGGAAGTCCTGGAGGTGGTAGGAGCCTTATTGGGATTGATCCGCTTCTCCGGGGCCTTTTCCTCCCCAACCCTCCCTTCTGTCCCATGATTACCAGGCAAGGCCACTGAATGCCATGCAGTTCGTCATCTAGGAGCTGAGTGGGGTAGGATTAACCTGCTATGTCCTTCCAGATGCTGACATTGAGAAGGCCTGGGCCACTCCATTAGCATCTGCCTATGTCCAACCTTGTCTGGATGTTAAAGCCAGGAGAGAGTGGAGTCCTTGCAGCCCACAGAGCATTCCAGTGCCTGTGGGGCTCTGTGAGGCAGTCCTTGGGACTCTTGGGTCTGGTGGAGTTTCTCCGGAAATAGCCTTGTTGAGTGCCAAGCATGTGGAGGAGCCCCTGATAAAGATGGGTCAGCAGCTCTTGAGTGTGCTGTGGTTGGGGTGATGACTGCCACTGTCCCTGCTTCTTCCAGGCCCCTCCTGCCAGGACCCCTGAGTCATTCTATTTAGAGAAGTTTTAGCATGGGGGGTGGGCAGGGTTCTGATTACAATGGTGCTGGGCCCTGGGAGGGATTCCACATTGCAGAGAGGTGCACTGGAGACATCCCCCCTACATTCCTCCCCTCCCCCACAGTGTTTTATGTCTCTGTGACTCCCAGCTCCATTTACATAATGAACAGAAGGGAAGGAGGGGACAGGTGGGTGCTGACTCTGTCGGAGAAGACATGACCTTTGCTGTACCGTTCACCTGGAACTCTGGCACCGAGGGTTGGAGCGGCCGAGGGCCATTCCAGGAGCCGTCTTGGAATGGAGGCCAGGCTCTTGACCGCCAAGTGTAAACACCCTCACCCAGTGAAGGCAGGGCTCCTTGCTTGTTTCTCACCTTCACTGAAGTCCAGGCCAAGACTGTGTGAGCAAAAGGAATTAGCAGGCTGTTGCCATTGGACATGCAGACTGCTTTGAGAATAGCTAGAGCTAGGGGACCAGGCCATAACATACTTGATTTTGTTTCTGTGGGACCCAGAGGTAACCTCCCTCTGCTCTTTCTATAGCACAGATTTTCTTCCATTTGTAGGAAAGACTTTCTCTCTGCCAAACCTCATGTAACACTCTCCACACTGGCCTGGGTTTGGTCACATGCCCATGTCCATCCTGTAGTCCATGCCTGGGCACAGAGGATGGCTGCTGACACTTACCCATTCCCATGGCTTGGAGAAAGTGCAGCATGATTGACAGGTCCATTGGTATCACACGGAAGGGCTGCAGAAGGGCCAGACTGAGCATGTCCTGAAAATCCAGAAACAAGTCAGCCAAGGTCACCTAGCCCATGCTGATGCATGAAAGTTAGTTTTATGGAGCTACTGGCTTGTGTGTGTGTGTGTTTGCGTGTTATTTGATTGTTTGTTTGTTGTGACTTGGCACTTCTCCCTTGTCACAAGCACCTCACCTCCTCATGAGTTCCTCCTGTGGCTTGCCTCGTGGTCCAGGGCCACCCTAGAGGAAGAACAGCATCCAGGGCATTTGTGGGCTGCTTGGGGGAAAAGACACAAAAAGCCAGTTGTAAGACTAAGGTCCTTATAAATGGCACTGCAGAGCAGTCTGGAATCAAGCCCAATTTGTCTCCAGTGAGCAGGCAGACCCATTCCCCAGGAACTAAGAGGCACGGGTAATCATTGTGGTGCTATTGATCTGGGAAGGAAAGATCCCAGGGGTGAAGTGTTGGGAGCCAGTTTGCAAAGATGAGATGGATTTGGGCAGGAGTGCCAGGAGAGCAGATGGCTTGCTACTGGATTCCATTGCCTATCCTCCCACCAGATTTATCCATCCACCCTTCTTCCATCCTACAAGACATTTATCAAATGTGATTTGAGTTTTCCGTGGTGAAGAAGACATAGAACCTGAGAGGCTGATGATGCTTGGAATGAGCCAGCTAGGTGAGATAGGCTATAGGAATGTGGTTTGGGATAATTTCAAGAAACCAGACTGGGGTGTTTAAAGGATCTTGAAAGGGTAGTGAGGCCTTGGAAGTCTGTGATGGTTGGGTTTTAATTGTGTGAACTTGACACAACCTAGACTCATCTGGGAAGAGTTTTAATTGAGGAATAGTCTAGATCAGGTTGACCCATGAGCCTGTCTAGGAAGGATTGTCATGATTGTTAATGGATATGGGAAGACCCAGCCCACAAGGGGCAGCATCATTCTCTAGGCATGGGGTCCTAAACTGTGTAAGAGAAAAGAAGCAGGCAAACAAGAAGCATCCATGCTGTTACTTTTCCCTGCTCTTGGCCAGATGTGATGTCATCTCCTGCCATTGTGACTTCTCTGCTATGGTGGCCTATAAGCTGGAATTGTAAAACAAACCCTTTCTCCCCTACATTGCTTTTTGTCAGAATTTTCATCACAGTGACAGAAACGAAACTAGACCAGTCCTCCTGGATCAGACAAGGGAACAAAGTCACTCTCTACAGTTCTAATCAGAGGAATCGTCAAGATGCAGAGACTGTGTTGTTAATCTATATGGTCACTTCTGTCCCTGTGTATTCTTACCATACCTTTGAAAACACTGGTCCCTAGAAAGCAATAGCAGCTGGCATGGCCAATGGCTGTCTTGTCTTCTACATGAAGCGTCTCCTGTCCATCTTGTCACCCTTACCCTTCACACTGTGACTGGGGACGAGGTTCCTGATCATGGTTTGTCTCAGCTGAATGGGTTTCGGCTCACACAATAGAGTTATATCCACATTTCCATGGGTTTCTGTGGATGATTTTGTGATTTGGGGAGAAGACTGAAACCAGGAATGAAGAGTTCAGACAATGAGCATCCTTGAGAAGTCTGTATGTCTATGTGTCTGTTCTGCAATGAAGACCTTCCTCATATCCTCAGGAAATAGTGAGTCTCCCTACTGACACATACACAGGTTACCCAACACCCCTCACTCTATACTTCCCCAGTTTGAGGGGTTCCATTTGTGCACAAATAAGGCTTAGAAACATACCTTATCAGCATCAGTATGGCTGATGCCAACAGATGGTGAGAGAATGAAGAAGGAATGAGGGGACAGGTCTACCAAGACTACACATGGGAGCTTGAGGAAATAGGTCAGCTAGTAAAGTGCTTATTGTACAACATGAGGACCTGAGTTTGTACCCTAGCCCCGGTGTGTAAAGCTGTATTTGAGAGTGTGTGTGCATCCCAGTGCTGGGGAAGCAGAGATGGGAAGGTCCCTGGTTCTTGTTAGACAGCCAATCTAGCCAAACTGGTGACCTCAAGGTTCAGTGAAAGACCCTGGCTCAAACTATAAGGTAAAGACTCTGGATGTTGACCTCTGACCTCTATACTCACATATGCACCAGCACCTGAATATACACCTGTGCACATGCACAAATGCCTGCACATGTATGTTCACAAAAATAATAGAAATTAAGAAGATCACATACCAGGGAGGTTAAGAATTCTGTAAGTAAAAACAGAAGACCCTAGTTCTATTTCTAGGTGGCAGACTTGCTCCCCTCTCCTGGTTACTCTGGAACTGATCCCAGAGTGTGTAATGATATCATCACCCCTAGAATAAATCCCCTCTCATAGTTTTTGAGGGAGGCCCCCTGAGTTGTCTGTGTCTGTTTTTCCCTCTTCCCTGTGGCTACCTCGACTGGCTCCTTCTTAGCCCCCAAGAAGACCCCTGGGCAGAGCCCCTCCTGTGCGGGCTGAGTGGTTGAACAAGGGCATTTCCTAGCAAGGTTCTTTTTTCTTGGGAGTCAGAGGCATTTTGGAAAAGAAGGGGTGACATTTGCTATCGTCCCATGACTCTGATCTCCTGAGGGTTGCTGGGGTGGGGTTGGCTTTGGGAGCTGGCGTGCTAGCGGGCACTTTGATGAGGTACTGATTTAGCTTGTCCCCTGGGTGAGGGCAGGAAGGGCTCTCTGCTTGGGTTTTGTCTCTGGGATGAGTCATTCTGTTTCCTCACACTGTGGACTGTCAGCAGCAGTAGAAGGGCCTTTCAGGTGGAGTTTTCAGTATTGCCCATTGTCACATGTGTCCTGGAGGCAGCTGGTGCTGGAGAAATGGGCCATGCAGCTTTCCAGTTAGTGCTGTGGAAGCCTTGGCAAGGGCCTTCTGAGATCCTGGCTTCAAATGGAGCTGGGGATAAGGAGTGGGGTTCGTCCAGGTTGTAAGGGGACTGTGGTTCCTGGGACCATGAGGATGCTGACAGTTGGAGGAGTCAGAAGCTGGGCCTCCAGAAGGACGGGATAGTTTTATTTGAGATGTCCACAATTGACTATAGACAAAAGTTAAAGTGCTTACTGCTGAGAATGAGAAATGTCTTTACCTGGGATGAGGCTCCCCACCTAAACCCTCAGCAAGATGGTCTGACTTGTCTTCTGGTGACACGCACCCACAGCAACCAGGTATTCTGTCTTGTAGGGGTTGGAGGGGCAGGGCATGCCAGAAAAGAAAGGACGAGGGACAAAAGGCAAGCAAGAGAGTTAGAACAGTCGTAGAGAAGAAAAAGGAGACAGAGGGAGACAGGAATGAAAAGAGGGAAAGAGCAAGGAGACGAGACAGAGGGAAAGGAGAAGAAACTTCCATGTCCATGGTGGGGGTCTACAGGGGCTCTGCTCTTACCTGGGAGATGCCGAGGACAAGCTGTATCGGTGGGATCACCTCCATCATGCATACCCGCTGCTACAGGGGCTCTGCTCTTACCTGGGAGATGCCGAGGACAAGCTGTATCGGTGGGGTCACCTCCATCATGCATACCCGCTGCTGCAGCTACTGAGACTCTCGGGCAGCCCTGGCCGGATCTGGCCTCTGTTTCGTGTTCTCGGTCCAGGCAGTTCAGGACAGGCTCCCTGACAGTGAAAGTCATTACCTGGCTGTTAGGAATCGTGTCTGCTGAGAGCTCACTGGGGCTCCCAGGTCTGCCATCTCGATGCATTCTCTCAATGATGTACTTTAGTCCTTGTTTTCATTATGTAGACGAGGAAGCTGAGCCTTAGAGAGTCTCGGTAACCTGCGCGTGAATGGCAGCGCTGGGTTTCTAAAGATGCACTGCCTGTCAGTTCCTAGTGTATACTCCTTCACCCTGTTTCCTATGTGCCAAGCGTCATTCTCCATCCTCTTTGCCCCTTGTGTTGGCACGTTGCGCCTTCCCAGATCTGGGACCATGGCCTTGCATCCTGGTGTTAATCTCTTCCATGGACCACAGTTGATCTGCACATCTCTGCTCTCTCCCTCCTCACCAGCAGAGCCCTGGCCCTGGGCTATGGGAGGTAGGAGTCCCTGGTGGAATGCTAATGGGCCCTGCTGTGTTTGGAGGTGGGAAGATAGCCAGACCAGAGGACAGTGTGTGGGAAATGCTCAGGGCTTTGTGGGGCAAAAGGAGGGAGTCCTGGACTTCTGGCCCCACATTCCCTGATCTCTTATTTGTCCATGGAACAGGGAGGACAGGAGCTGATGGTGAGAACTCTGGCCTGAAGGGTTAATCTGTGTACCTGCTGGCTCATGCACTCTGTCACAGTGCTCATCTGAGTCACTATCATCCAGTGGTTAAGCAGGCAGGCTCTGGGCAGGTTGACTGGGGCAACATTGCAGTGGCCTTTGTTAACTGGAGTAGGGGGCAGACTTTGATGCCATTTGCTTCAAGACACCCCCCCCCCGTGTGTGTGTGTGTGTGTGTGTGTGTGTGTGTGTGTGTGTGTGTGTGTCACACAAGTGTTATGGAGGCCAGAGGTTGGTAGTTACCTTTTTCTGTCTCTCTCTACCTTATTTTGGGAGCTAGAGTTTCTTCTCACTAAGCCTTTAGCTCATCAATTTGAATAGACTGGCTGGCCAGTGGGCCCATGGATCCTCCTGTCTTTGCTTCCCCAGTCCTGATATCACAGGCACATGCTTCTGCACCTGGTTTTCTATGAGCATGCTGGAGACGGAAGTCAGGTCCTTGTGCTTTGCCAACTGAGTCATCTTCCTAGCTTCCATGGGGCTGTTGGCCTTTCGAAGTCTTTAGCCTCAGTCCAGGGAGTTAAATGGGACATTCTTTTCAGAGAGGCCAACATAAGATCTGATGTTTAGCAAGAAGCCAACAAACATCAGTGACAGCTGTCTTTCACTTATTTTTCTTCATCTACTCGCAAGGTAAGAGTCCTATTCAAGGTCCAAATTGGTGTGGAGAAAATGGCAGAGTGGGAACAAGCTGGAAGAAGGGTCCTTAGACATAAGCTGCCATTGAGTCTTTGAGGGATTCAGTGGTGTCGATAGGAAGAGTCCAGGGCTCTTGGGTGGGTGAAGGACTAACCCCTCTATAGGAGTCATCTGTCTTCCCATCCCTAACATTTTTTTCAAGGTAGGGACTTCTCTAATCTTCACAGTTCAGGTGGATTGGGCTTCTATGGCCGTCTCTGGTCACTCAGTGTTTTAGGAGCTGTCCCTCTTGCTGACCTGCTTGTCCATCTTTGTCCTGGCAGATCTCTAAACCAGGCTGACCCAGTCCAAGCTGGCTGCTGAACCTTCCAAGTCTCCTGTTGACTTGGCAGAGTCTTAAGCCTCAGTCCAGGCCAAACCAAGGTCTATGTGTCAGACACTTGGCTGCTGCCTGTCTGATTTCATCTCCTGCTTGAGATGTCATAAGTCCACTCTGGGCTGTCACAGCTGTTGAGGAACTCTGCCTATGGAGAGGGGCTAAGCACTTATATCAGGACAACAGACAAGGTA